TCTTATAATTTTTGCAGTTGCAAAAAAAATCTTGCTCACTTTTCATGATCATATGACTGAATAAATATTTTATTTGGTTAAAAATCTGTATTTCTAATTATTCTGTATTAAATAACATTATATCAATTGATTTTGAAGAATCATCTTTGAAGAATTTTTTAGATTGTCTTAATAATCTACAAAAATAGTTGAATATGATTATTAAAAATAATAGTAATAAATAAAAAAGGAATATAGTAGTAAATAAAAAAGAAATGTAATAATAAATAAAATAATAAAAATAGAGAAATAACCTGTTATTTATATAACAGATTATTATATCTATTATACTTTATCAGACTATAAAAAAATCAATATCATATTTTATCTATTTTTTATTAATATTAAAACTATAAAAAAATCTGTGCTATACTTTATCTGTTCTCTATTAATGCTATAATATTAATCATTATCTATATAATTTTAATAAATTTAATTTAATTATTTATTATTTAATTATTTAATTTATTATATTCTTATTGAACAAATTTAAAATTATGTGACTTTTATATATAACATATGATTTGGATATGTGATTTTTATATGTGACTTGTACATGTAATTTTATATATGATTTATTATTTATTATTTATTATTAATTTTATAATTTTTATAATTTCATAATTTGCATAATTTCATAATTTTTATAATTTCATAATTTGTATAATTCTATAATTCATATAATTTTATAATTTCATAATTTCATTAAAAATATCAAAAATATCAAAAATATCAAAAATATCAAAAATATCCAATATACCTAATATATCTAATATATCACATTTATTATATTTATTATTATTTTGTAATATTAATTAGTAAAAAATATTTATTATAAATACAGTTGGTCTTGTAATTATAAAAAAGCAAGTTATAATCAATTAGATCCAACACAGTAAAATTATAACAATTATTCTAATTAATAATTTAAATAAAATACCTTTAATAAAATATCTATTACTTGATTATCTTTATTATTAATATATAAAATTTAATTAAATAATAATATTTATTGTGTATTATATTGGATACTCAATTAGATTGTTAAAGAATATTAGTACTATATTGCTTTAGAACTGTTCTCACATTAAATAGATAATAGAAATCTATTAGTAATAGTAATTTATTTTGATAATAGAAGAAAATACATGAATTTCAAGATCATATAAATTGATTTTATAAAAGATATAATTAATGATTATGGTTAAAAACAAGTTATAATTAATAGTAAACACCAAAAGAATTCTAAAAATTGAATCGTGACATTGTATAAATATATTATATTTAAAAAAATAAGAAACAATGATATTTAAAAATTTAATTTATAATTTTTGTTTAATATTATTATAATTATTTAAAAATATAAAAATTTGAAGATTAAATTTAATTTTTTTTATTATGACAAATAAAATGAATTTGAAATTGTAAAATATAAAGATAATAAAAATTATAAAAATAAATCAAAAATAATCATTCAATAAAATTATCTGATTATTTAATAAATCTTGTATTATAATAATTATTAATAATTATTTCTATGTAAGTAAAACAAAGAGTTTAAAAATAATTATATGCGATAAATTAATAATTATATGAAAAAACAGATATTAAACTAAAAAAATTCTGATAATTTGTGAATTAATTTTCTAAATATATTACAAATCACAAAATATTATAACTAATAAAAATTTTTATATAATATTTTCAAATTATTACTTTTTTATTACTGTGATATCTATCCAGTTCTTGTATAATTCATTCTGGAAATATATTGAACAAGTTAATGTAATTAGTCAAAACACTAAGTAATATGTTATTTTAATAATATATTTTTTACATAATATATTTTTAAAAACTTGTCATTTTTATTTTGCTTAAACAAAACAAAACAAAGCAATAAATAATTATTGTTATATAAAAGTCGTTGTGCAAGTATAATAATAATGATAAATATAAACAAAATCTGGCACAGATTTTTATATTAATGCTGAAATTTAAAAAAATACATTATTTAAAATTGTATTTTCTCAATAAAAAATGTATAAAACTTTAAAATAAAATAAAATATACGTATTACTTAATAATACTTATCAAAAACTATTAAATAACGTATTTTTTTTTTAATACTTAAAGTTCATATAAAAATCTGCATTTTACAAAAATGATCAAAAATTGGATGTCTAAATTGTTCGCACCATACTAAAAGTGATGTCATGTTCACTTTTGTTGCAGTACACCCCCAAATAACCTTAATCTTTACCCCGCATTTTCACGGTTTTTTTTTACTCGTGAACTGGTAAACGAAATATATTCTTTACACTTAGCAAAATTAAACTTTAAGGCAAATAGAAGATCTTTGTCTAGACGTATAATAGTAACTAATGATCAATTATTAATTAAAAAAATCAAGAAATGGAAAAAATAGAATGCAAGTTAAAAGATGAGAATGCATCCATTGCGTTTGATATTAATTTTTAATTCTCCGTTTCTTTTTGCAAGGTATAGACTTTACTCGATGAGGTTGATAGCCAATGATGATAGAATGACGATAGAAATTACAGCAGCCACTATTTCTCCCGTAACAGGATATTTGCAATTTATGATAAACAAAAAAATTTTAAGGTTTGTGATGGACGTTGGTCAATGAATTCAATTATCTTTCGGGTATGACGATAATAATATGGAGTAAATCAATTATTGAAATTCTGGTCTTTTGATCTTGATTTGCATCACTTTTCAACTATATTGTCAATCCGTCCGCGTGTCAATCATAAAACTATCGATCAGATTAACCAAACGCGAGTTTTCAAAATAACTCTTCTATCACTCAGATCCAAAAATAAAACACAAGTTCACATCAGTTTTAAAGCAAGCGCCAAGTTACCCGTTTTGTTAATGTGATGATTAGTGATATCGTCTTTGTGATAGTATAGATTAATTTGATAGTGAAAATAAAAAATATTCGCATCCTTCACCATAAATTATGCGAGAAATTTGGTGCCCTGAATTACATATCGATCTGGATACATTCATGATAAAGTGAAAAAACATACAACCTGTCTTTTATGATTCAAGAATTAGACTGCTTGTCTTCTTCTTTCCCGGTTAAATCTTTTGGCTTTTTTTTCTTTTGGTGAATATAAAATAGCCACTTTTGTACATTAGATCCGTGATGGTTAATTTAGATTAGAGTGATATCCAATCAATTAACAATCCTAATAACTATCCCAATTAAAGGAAAATGCGTATCCAAATCGTCACAACCACCAAAATTTTTTTTGATGAGTCATACTAGTACTGTGTACATGTTTAATTCCATTAAAGTTGTAAGATATTCAATCACCAGCGATGAAAGATAGCGAAAAAAAAACAGTTTTGTGTGGATAATTTTTTTTAGTATTGTACTGGAAGCATTGTTTGTTGGTCTCTGTTATTTTTTGTAAATAAAAACATGTTTTAATACCTGAAAATTAGAATGAATTGATATTCTTAGATTCTACTTGTATTATAATACCAAATGAAATTCATTGACTTCTACGCGTACCAAATGAAAATACAATTAAAGAAATAAACAAATATACTTGTGTCAATGTATAATTATCAAAAAAAAATCATAACGATAACAGCAAAAACGAAGAGCCTTTTTGCTTTTTTAAAGTGAAACTTTATATACCGATACAGAAAGAAAAGCAATTACACACGTGTCTTAATTCACTAATTCTGGAATTTTGGCTGATTTAACTTTAAATGTTAATGATTTCGTTCAGTATTTTATATATAAGATGTAGCTGACAACTGATTAGCTGCGCGATTTTACTACAATACACGACAGCGTGCATAAATTTAATTTTCCTTTTTCTTTTCTATCTTTCTTTTCTGTCTTCTCTTCCTTCTTCCCTTTCCTACATCATTTCTACTTTTTCTATAACGATAACATTACTTATCGTTATCGCTGAAATCACCAAACGCTTGCATATGATATTGACAGAAATTCAGATGCCGTTTTTTCCATGTATGCCTATACATGATCTTCTAACTACTTTCGTCCGCCGCGTCGGCATTAAAGCTTTCCCAATAGGAATTCCGAAAAAAATCAGCGAGCCAAACAAATTCTTGCCAACTAGGGAGTTTCTCAAAATTTGTGCGATCTATTTTATCACATACGCCTTTTGCATCCTTTTCTTTTCCCCTTTCTCGTCGTTTTTCATTTGTTTATTTAGTTATCAGTTAGTGCCAACATTATACGAGAGAGAAATAGAAAGAGACACAGAGAGTGTGAGATGGCGGGCAAACAAATAGACAGGCAAAGAAAGACATGCAGACCGGCAGACTGGCAATTAATGCATTGCATTTTGCATTCATTGTATAATAAAGTATCGATTATCGGTCATATCCACAAATGACTGCTCACTACGTTTGTTACCATCACTACGTTTGTTACCATCACCACCACCATCAACTGGTCACAAAGCAAGAAACAAACCTTTTCATTATGTGTATGTGTGTTGTGTATGAGAGTACGCCATAAATAACCCATATAACACAATAAAATAGTTTACAATACAGCTAAAAAATTCATCACAGGCGGCGATAACATGAACAAAATTTCTCTTCCAGATAAAGTAACTTGCAACAAAAATATACATATATATAAATGTAATTACATATGAAGACTATTCATATTCTATTATGTATATAATAATAAATAATCCATTTAATCAACCCCATCATCATTGTCAAAAGTAAAAAAATATATATATATACATTCACTACCGTACTTTCCTCAAAATTTGCTACAACCACCAAACTCAAGGCGGAAGATACGCATTACTAACGCTAATTTTAATATTTAATTCAATCAATCCTATTTGATAATTCTTTCTCTGAACCTTTATTGCGATTATTACGACTACCACAACTACCACGACTACCACGACTACCTTTACTTAATAACAATAATAATGGCACTTCCAAAATTACTATCTCCAAGTTTCTGGATTGATAAATGCCTAACACTAGTCTTGCAATTGACATTGGCATTATTATTGCAAACGTTATACGTTTTGAAAGGGGAAGATGTTATTTTGACCGACGTGAAAGTAACAGTTCGTAAATCGATATCGTCTGACGACTCCAGATCAAAAACAAACAGTCCTCCCAAGTCAACTAAACAAACTCAAAGTAAGCAAGACAACCTTAAGGCAGGTCCAACCTCTAAAAACAATAAAACCACTGTTACTGCCACCAAAGCCACTTCCAATTCTCAAGGAGATTCAACACATCCTCCTAAAGTACCATCTGTAACATCTAAAGAATCAAAAAAAACTATAGAAAAAGCTATCGTCACTGGAACCTTGACTGAATTAAAACCTGATAATCTCGAAAAACAAATTCTATTGGAAGGGAATAATGTTGCCACGCCTATTGAAAATGAAGCTGTCACGCCTATTGAAAATGAAATTGTTAAAATAAATGATGATGAATCTCCCAAAACAATTTCATTTGAAAAAATTATTGAGGAAATCAAAGAAGACTCTGTAAATGTTGAAGAAATCAAAGAGGAATCTGCAACTGTCGAAGAAATCAAAGAGGAATCCGCTACTGTTGAAGAAATCAAAGAGGAATCTGCAACTGTCGAAGAAATCGAAGAGTCTGTAACTGTTGAAGAAATCAAAGCGGAATCTGCAACTGTCGAAGAAATCAAAGAGGAATCCGCAACTGTTGAAGAAATCAAAGAGGAATCCGCAACTGTTGAAGAAATCAAAGAGGA